TGTCAGAGCACCTGATCCCCAATCAGAATTCAATTAGGAGTTTAATAAAACTCTTGCAGAGAGCTGGGGCGGGAAGAGGCCCCTTGAAAAAAGCCGAGCGCAGCAAGTTTGTGCTGCGAGGCGCGTTGTGATGCGCTGCTCAGCGTCTGTGGCTTTCCTCCCTTCATCTCCAGCCAAGCCACTGTCTCCAGCTGTCTCAGACGATTGCCGAGGCTCCTAAAGGCCCAGCTACACCAGAGGCTCTGAGAAGAGTTCACGTAGCATTTCTCTCACCACTGGTTTCTCCCCCAATGTTGTTTCCATCTCTCTCAAAATCCAAAGGCACTTAATGTATTTCTGTCAGCAACAGCAGTAAGTGCTTTAACACAAGTATCTCCTGGCTGGGGATTTCTGCCATCCTGCCTGTCCGCATCCAGCTTCTCTATCGTGTGTTTGCCTCTTCATAAAAGGCAAGTGAGCACTTTGCCTGTTCTGACTTTATCTGCTTCACAAAGCTGCACTGTTGGGTGATGGCTGTATGTTACTTTGTTTCTCAAAGTCCAGGCACAGATTATTTAAATTCAGAGTTTAAAAGTGAACGAGTTGCAACTGAGTAATATTCATCCGCGCGAACCTACAGACTGGGACCTCTCACTCACTTTCCAGCAAGAATGCCAGCCCTGGGTGTGCTGAAAGGCGTGAGCACCACCTGGGGTGGCTGATTCCATCGCCAGGACACACAGACTTGTGTTTGCCTGATAGTCGAGGCATAATCTGGAAAAAGCACACGCTGTGGATGAGGAGGAGGTGATTAATGCCTGTGAATTCCTGGCCCAGGGAAGAGCCAGCCCTGCCAGATGCGATAATGTTGTCCTCTGACAAATGGCTGCAGCTTGGCCTTCTTCAGATAATGATGTAGGTTTGTGCTTTAGCTCCAGATACTGATCCCACCAGGGCAGGGTTCCCTGTCATGCAGCCATCCATCCCGCCTCCTCAATGCTCAGCTCTGGGAGCCAATGGGTTTTGGCTGTACTTCTTCCTTTCATTGGCACTTTCTGCACAGACTAACAATTACAAATACGCATTTCCATTTATCTTGCACCTTTCAGCTGGGAGTGGAAGTACTTGACCCACATGGATTAAGCATTGCAACACAACAGTCAGATATACAGGGAGCAAACAGGGATCACCCGGTCGGCACATGGCTGTAACAGCTGTTTCTTGTCACATGGCAGGTACTTAGGAGAATTCAGGAATATCTGAACAGAAAGTTTAGACCAGCTGTTTTCAAACTTGTTTGTCAATCCATAAAGCAGTCTGCTAGAGGCACGGGCCCCAGTGCAGCAGCAATAGGCTGGCTTTTCTGAGGTGCAGGCACTACATCACCTTTGGCAGCGAGTCTAGCATAACTCCTCAGCCTCCTGTCCCGGGCCACGCAACTCACTGCCCTCATTGTGCCCCTGATAGAACTGATTTCTGAGCCAGACTGGATCAGCTGGATCTGGATTTTTGTACAATGTCAAGCCTTTTAATTTTTTTCTTAAAAGCATTCAGACAGGACCATCATCTCCAGCCCTGGCTCCCCAGGGCTCTTTTGCCATCCTGAAGGATGGGTAGCAACTGCAGCTCAGCCACTTTGCTGCAGGTCAAGGACAAGCGATTCAGCCAGCAGAGCTTTCCCAGAAGCAGGTCTGTGGCATAACTAACTTAACACATGCTTCTGTAAAGCCACACAGTAAAGGTCCTCATATACTGCTGTCATAACCTGCAAACTTTTATCAAAGAAGTGTCATCTTATGCAAACTTTTAAAGGTGTATGTGTTCGTGATTCATCCCAAGAACCTGTGGGGACAGCAGCGCTGTAGAGGCACACAGCTCAGTTCTTAAACAGCACCAGACTCTTCTTAAATGAGCACATCCTCTGAAATGCCTGAGGTGCTGACTTTCTGCTTGACACTGCTCATGTATAATTGGTTATGTCAGCTTTACTGTGTAAAACACGATGAAAATGAAACTTCTTCCAGGAACAACTGAATTCTGGTGATTTCCAAGTCATGTAATTTGTTTCTGAAGTTGAGGTCTTATTTCCATGCTACAATGGCCTTACACATCCATTACTCAGGACTGAGCACTAAAGACAAGCAGCGTGGCATCTAGGTTGAGAGATGGATATATCTACAAGGTGATTCAACCTTGGAGATGAGTCACTCTTTAAGTCCTGCCTGTTCCTCTCCACTGATAGTAAAGAAATTCTGGGTAAATAGCTCAGAGACAACTACATTGCAGCTTAACAAAACTCCTGAAAGGAATCTGACCTGTGACTTTGTAACTTACGGGAGAGTATGCTGAGCTTCTAGGCCATCTGAATGAGCAAAAACCCATTCTTAAAACTAACGTTTTACACTTCGATACGGTATTGACCACTTGTGCAGCAATCCCAAATCCAGATTGTTGGCTGAGCAGTGTCTCAGGACACCTGAATCCCACAGTTGGTGTTTTCTGTCTTTATCCTGATGTAACAGAACCGCCACCCAGCTAGCAAGCCTGCCAGGAGGAATTTGGAAGAGGGTGCTCAAAGGCCAGGCTTAATATGTGTTGGCAACCCTGGCGTGTGGCAGTTACATAGCCCCCTGTCTAACTTCAGATGTAACTGCTACTGCTGTTAGATTCACATTATGTACTGGTGCTTGCATGTGTATGGAACAGAGGCTGTACCGTTTAATTACATCTACAGTAGTGGAAAAGTTCCATCACGTCTGTAACTACCAGCCTAATTGGAAACCCTTTTTGCTCAAGAGCAGGTAATCCCACCCTTGCTCCTCCTTGCTTTTAGGAGTTCATGAAGCTATTGAGTTGTTTTAGAGAATTTGAACATGCAGCACAAAGGCTTGAGAGCTGAAGCTGCCCTGAAAATAAAAAAAATGGTAGTGTGATGCAGATTTAATTGTACCACTGTATCTTTTAATTTCTGGGAGACTGAATTGAAGATAAAGGTGAAGAGTGTGTGGTGCAGACTAGCAAAGAGCTGTTGAGTCAGGTGACTCACTACAGGCTTCATGCATTTGAAAAATCAGCGTTCAAAACACCTGGGCAATAAATACACAGTGCCTTTGATATCTTGTCTGCTCAGATGGCTACCTGCTCCCTGTCCCCACCAAAATTCCAGCTGTCTTATTTTCAAGCCTCAACCTACACCTAAATGTTTCTCAAAGAGGAGTAGCAGTTTGTCAGTTTTCATGTGTTCAGGTAGGACTGTATTGTATTGAACAAAGTACCCCAGTCATTTATAAGCCAAAACCTCCCAAATTCCTTCTCTGGCTTTAAGTACCTCAGCCTGTCCTCATGCCTCATGGCTACAAGATACCTCTGCTGTGAGGAAACGCTGGTTTCAGAGGCCCCTTCTGTCTCTTGCCCCAAACTCCAGTCCCTCCCCGTCCTTGTGAAATAATTTGAGTTTAAACTAAGCATACACTGAGAAATCCTTTCAGTGATCCATCTTGCAACATGGGCACCAAGCAGTGTGACAGAGGGGCAGCAAGCTGTGGCTGAGAGCACAGAACTGGGCATTTTAAGTAATTTTGTCACCAAAGCCAATATATCATGTAGTTACACCCTTGTCTTTCTGCCCTGGGAAACACACCTACAGTAGCTACTGTCCTGATTAGCTGTCCTCTCAGGTGGTATATAGGTGTAGGTACTGCCTGCAGAGGCATCAGCAACATTTACATTTGTACCTTGGAGGCTCACAGTAGAGGAAATATCCAGCACACATTGATTGTAAAGGAGCATGGAGCGGGAGCTGTGCCTTGCAAGGTGTAATACTGGGACACAAGATGTCACAGAAGCAGAGCATTTCATTGTTAATGGCATCTTCTAATTCTCTTTTTTTCTTTTACTTTCAGTGTGGAAACAGTGAATGATGGGCAGTTTCATAGTGTGGAACTCGTGATGTTGAATCAAACTCTGAACCTGGTGGTGGACAAGGGGACTCCCAAGAGTTTAGGAAAACTCCAGAAACAGTCTTCTGTCAGCCTTAACACACCACTCTACATTGGAGGTACAGTGAGTTGCTCTGGCCTGAGATTTTTAACAAGTCTTCTCAGAAGCAAATCATCTTCCATTTTATGGAGAGGACTCTCCAGGAGGGCAGAACTAGCAGTTTGTCTTTCCCCTCTGCCATAGGTTGCTACCCTGATCAGAGATCCTGGCAACCACACATCTGCTCTTCTGCTTCATGCTCCAGAGTCCACTACTACGCACCACACGGCCAGCACAGGCTAGCACACCAGACCAGGAACATTGACCTCAGCACAGGCAGTTTCCATGTTACGCAGCCATGGCAAGAGCAATCACTTTTGTCATTTCTAAAGCTTTCAGAACTGGCTGGCACCAAGATGTGGCTGAAGAATACAATGGAAGTATCACAAACAGTCACTGCAAAAAAGCAAATCAATACTCAGTAGTTTTAAATATACCATAAATGAGCTGTATTTTTACTGGAAATTTTATAGAGGTCTAAAAATTTTGGGGAAAATGAAAGATTAAAACCTCTAAACCGTACAGGCTGACTAACAACTTCTTAGCTAACAGTTTTCTTATTGGAAACTGAAGCCAGAGCTTCAATATTAGAAAGATATTAGAATTGACCAAACTTCAGTTAAGAAGTTTGTTCACATTCAGTACTGAACTTTGGGGAAAGGAGGAGCCAAGTGGGATGGGGAACAGATGCCCAGAATAATGATTATCCCACTGATGAGGTGTCTGAATATGAGAGACAGAATGAAGGTCGTGCTCTGCCCAGTTGATTTTTTTTTTGCCAGAACTGCCCCCAGCTCTACTCTGGACTAAATGTTGAAATCTCTCCCTTTGTGTGACATGACTTCTTGGCTTTTCTACACAGTCTATTCCAAATACAAAACTCAGCAGAACAATAATAGACTCAGAAAGTCTTTGGGTTTTTTCTAAACAGATTATTGAAGCCAGTAGTAGTGTTACCGATTTCACTTGGTGCAGGTCAAGCCTTCGGTAAATAATTCCTTTTAATAACACTTTTCTAAAAGAACCCTGAATATTGCCCTTGTAAATCAGAAAACTGGCTGATCTTGCTTTGTACAGAGCTGAACTTTTATAATTGGCTCCTATTAAGAATGTCAGAGGCTATTAAAGAGCATTATGCATCAAAGATAATCTGCTGGTGAGGCCGTCACAATTTCTCCCTCTAGCACAGCAAAAAAGATACCAACACCACAGCAATTTATACACAGGGAATGTGGGATGTAATCATGTGGAAAAGTTTTGTTAATGGATGAGCAGTGTGGATCAATACTAATTCTCAAAAGGTACCTACAAAAATGCATTCACAAGACACCTCTGAGACCTGAAATGAAGAACTACTGGATACAAGAAGCCATGGACTCAGCAGATGCTTTTTTATGGCCCATTAAAATTCTTCTTGCTTCTTTCTGAACCCTTACTCTTCTGCATGTGCCACTCTGCATGTAGCATTCCCATGGATGCCAGTTGCTCTTCCACTTCAGACTATTCAGTTAAAGTAATTGATTAAATTACCCCACAGCAATTGTTCCTAACCTACACTAAGCTTTAAGACAGACCTGAGCCTTCACGTGCCCACAACTTTGTCCGTCTCTCGAACTACTCTACCTGGTCCAGCATCTTTCCTCCTAATGCATGGTTAAACAAAGATGCTCTTTTGGTTTTAAGACCATCTTTAAAAGTGGAGTCACTTATGGATAGCAAATTCAGAGGCCTTGTGCAGTTGAAAATGGAAGCAATTGCTTGTGCTAATGCGGCTATGTAGCCCAAGTGGATGTCAGTGGGGAGGGCATAGCACAACATCCACAAGAATCTACTGGCCATCTGAGCCTGTGAACTCTTCCAGGCACTTGAACAAGATGGAGGATACCTGCCACAAAGACTTGGCCTGGCCTCCTGAAGGACTGTTCTCTGTCTCTAGAGTTCTCCTGCACTAGTTTCAATGGGGTGCACTCTTACCACTCCCTATCTTAATACTGTGATCTAGTAATGCCTAACTACCTTGCTGTATCCCAGAGGTGGTAGCTACCTGCTGACAAGTAAACATTCTTAAACCTTTCAGAAGGATAATTGCTATGAAACTATAGACAGAAGGAGCATTACCTAAGGACAAGAACACATGGCCATCAGCCAAAAAAAAGACCTTTTTTTTTGTCATATATTTCTTAGTGACTTTATTTTTGTTTCCTTTCATTTCCAGAATGAGGACAATGAGACTGTGCAACCTTAGAAAGGTCCTATGCAAATTAATTCTGTAAAGATTATAAGGGGCTGTGACAAAAGAAATATTAGCAATTATAATTTATGTACCATCATTGTAACTGTGAGTAAACCTTCCCTTTTTGTTTTTATCTGAAGGGATCCCGACCTCTACTGGATTATCTTCACTGCGCCAGGGTGCAGATAAGACACCAAATGGTTTTCATGGATGTATTCACGATGTCCGCATCAATAACGAGCTGCAGGATTTCAAGGATTTACCACAGCAGTCACTAGGAGTCCTCCCTGGCTGCAAGTCCTGTAACATCTGCAAGCACGGTATTTGCCGGTCCCTAGAGAAAACAAGTGTGATATGTGAATGTCACCCAGGCTGGACGGGCCCCCTGTGTGACCAGGAAATTGGAGACCCATGTCTTAACCACAAGTAAGCTTGAACAAATGTTGATGGGAGGGTGAAAGCTTTACAGCTAATGCATACTTCACGTTTCATCTTGTAAAAACACTCCTGACTATTTTTGGAGGTGCTGGGGTCCCACATAAAATTACTGACAGTTGTGAGTCAGCATCCACGGCAAACCTCAATTTCCTCCTCTTGTTCTAATGTTGCTCACTCATAGGTCATGCTTTCAGCTGTGACTCTACACATTAAAATACAAAACCTCCTGTTAATGGCTATGAGTTACCTCTGAGGTGGTGAGTGCCTGCACTTATCCAGAGCACAGCTACCTGTGAGAGGGAGGTATGCATTTTAAGGATATGCTCCCAGCAGCATTAGACCCAGTATTCAGAAAAACTCCCTGAAGACCATTACACACTCCAATGTGAACAGTTTTAAATTTTCCAAATAGCTGACTTAGGTATTGCACTCTGAAACACCCTTTTAAAGTGCAAGTTTAAAGGAGAGCATGGAGTTGCATGGGAAGGAGCATGAGTGGAAAGCATCCACAGTTCAAAGGCTCAATAACCGCATCTCCAGCAGAAACACTGGAAGAATAGCTTACTTATGGCAAGTACCCAAGGAAACAGTCCAACGCAGACCAGCAGCCTGCAGAGTTCAGTGCTGTTTCATAAGCAGATGGAAATACTTTTGCTTTGGAAGCTACTTTGGTTGCACTATCTGTGGAAGGGGCTTTTCACAAGCACATAATTCTGACAGGTAAACTGAAACAGTGAATAATCACTCTCTTAAGGGCAGAAATTTAACTTGGCACAGATACCATTTTAAACTTGCTTCTGGGTCTAGTTCTGCAAAGTGCTGAACCCTGGAAGGTGTTGAGAGGCACCTGACAGTTTACAGACCAAAGGTGTGAAGAAACATTCAGAAGCCCAAACTTTTCCTTGAATTTCCAACATCAACATGAAGCTGTTGTGGTTGCACAGAGGAAAATAAGGGAATTCCAGATGTTCACATGATGAGGGATTGTTTCTCTCATAATCTAAGAAGGTTGATGCAATCATGAGTGTAAGCCCCTTTGCTAAGGAAAGTAGCTGTGTGTGTTTTTAATGTTCACATACTGTCCCACCTTTCATTAAATCACTTCAGCCTTTTGGAGTTGTCTCCTGAAAGACAAGCCTTTTGTGTCCAGGGGAGTACGGTGCCCTGCTGGCAGGTGTCTGCTCCAACAATCACAGGTTAATCTCAGTGAGGAAATGCAACTGTAAAGAACAGGTAGTTGACGATAACAAGAGTTATGATCCAAGTACACCTTTGGTTAGTGAGGCAGAAAAACTGGTTTATATAGACTGTGATTCTATCACAGTGTTTTGAATGTCTTGACCTGACTGAAACTACTTTTATTGCTTCTGTTTTTTAGTTCAAAGTTTAATAATTAAACGTACAAGATTCAACATAAGCAGGGAACAATTTTGAAGTACCAGAAAGAAAATAAATAAAAATAAGAGAAAGATATGGGATTATGTCAAGTGGGACCTGATATAGCAAAGGTTTATAAGCTCTGAGCACTTTTTTCTTTGCTGGACAGCATTTTCTTCCCTGTCAGTCCATTCCAAGTCTGTCCCTGTCCCAGAAGTGTGGAGGGTGTCAGAGAGCATGCTAAGGACAAACACCGTGCCCTGTGGTATTCCTCAGAAATAGCAAAGCTCACTGCAAGCCACATGAGCCAGGGAACCCTGCAACTGCTGTGAATAAGTTTGTGCATAGCTTTGCCACAGGAACCTTCATTTATCACACTGTTTTTCATCACCTGATACTATTTGTAGAGTAATTCTGGTAAGGAAGCCTGGGTATGCAGCTTGATTGTTGGCACTTAGTTCTACATGCTGATGCTGTAAATGTGAGCTGTCTTTTGTGGATGCCAAGCGTTGGTCCCTGCTCATGGAGGAGCCTAATATTTTTCAAAGAGATCACTTAGGGTCACAAATTCTAAATGTATTCTCTGAACCTTATCCAGTATTCACTGAAAACTCACAGTTTCTTCAGAGTGTTTGACACTGAACTGCTGGTTTTGGATTAGTATCCTGGAATTAAATGGGCAGAAATGCCAAAACCAAACATCCCTGGAAAAAGGAAGTTTCACATCTAACACAGACCAGCTCTAAATGCTTTTCTTTCTCCAGGTGTCTGCATGGTAAGTGCATGGCGGACAATGTTGCTTACACCTGTAAGTGCATGGAGGGCTACACAGGCATGTACTGTGACAAGAAGAACAATTCCTCAAATACCTGCAGGATTTTGAAATGCAACCACGGGCAGTGTAAAATTTCTGAGCATGGGGAACCCTACTGCGAATGCGATCGTAACTATAGTGGAGAACACTGTGACAGAGGTATGCTTGGCCGCAGGGCCTGGGATGCTGGTCTGCTGCATTTCTGTTTTACACCTTTGATTTTACCTCTCTTCCACGTGACTTGTATCTGGGGGCAAATGGCAAAGAGTAGAAGATAAACCTCAGTCAGCCTCTGCAGAGCAATATGGGGAGGAGAAAAGAACCACACAACAGTTAGCTAGCTACTATCCAAACCTATGGAAAGGGAAACATCTGTAGCAAAGGGTTTTATTCTCTGTCTCCTGAATCCTCAAGGTTTGCTGCTCCTACGATTCTGGAGGGATCTTTAGAGGAGAGGTTGTTGTGAGGTTTACCCTCAGCAAACAACAATCAGTTTTTGCAGTGCTGGGAAGGGAAGTCTTTCCCTGCATACCATGAGCAGGAGCTGGAAGGCAGGAGGTGCTGCTCATCTGAAGTGGCTGTAAAGCTTCTCCACTTGCTCCCTCTGATGCAGCTGGGTGGGTTTCCTGGGAAATCCTACAGACCATGCTGGACTTTCCTACTAGGGCTGGGGCCCAACTCTTCTGCCCTGACCTGAAAAGACTCACTGGAAACTTAGTGAGTTCTGTCTTCATCCCTCCTGCCTTTTTTTGTTCCTGTACAGAAGGAGGGAGCTGGCTTCTATTGCTTTTATTTATGTTGTGCCTTTCCTGTGAATGAACCACAGACTTTCAAAATTCTACACATATGCAGCCTCACCAAAATGTATCTGGCTGCTGCAAAGTGACTGCAGAACAGCACAGACATTTTCAGGTATCCCAGACCGCTAAAGTCATGCAGAGCAGGCTGACCTTTGATCCCAAGTAGACATAGTAAAACTAATTCATATTTTGCAGGAGTGTTGCAGGATTCAGCACTCAGCATTTGTTAGAGCACTTCCAGATCCAAGCCAGCAGGCCTGCTTGGCCTCTGCCTCGCACCGGATATTGCACATTTGTGTAACACAAGCTCTGTTTTGATGGCAGGTACAAAGCAGTAAAAGATTAAGGTCCTGCTCATGCCAGCTGTTTGCCTTGAATATCATTAAATGTACAGGGCTGTCTGCTGATGTTCGGAGAATATCTAGCAAAATAGTTACCACATTTTTTTCTTTACATCTCTGTTGTCTTACCAGAGAATCTCTGCCAAGGCGAGATAATTCGCGAAGTAGTCCGTAAGCAGCAGGGTTACACGTCGTGTGTCACTGCCTCCAAAGTATCCCGCCTGGAATGCCACGGCAGCTGCAGCAACGGGCAGTGCTGCGTTCCTCTCCGGAGCAAAAGGCGGAAATACTTCTTCCAATGTGTGGACGGCTCCACCTTTACGGAAGAACTGGAGAGACACGTGGAATGCGGCTGCTCAAAATGCTTGTAAGCCATTCTCCAGGTTCGTGCCACTTTAATCAACTCAGAAGCGCTATCAAAACAGGACCTATTTACTTTCAGAGTGAAGAAGAAGAAAAGAAATATTAAGTATATTGTAAAATAAACAAAAAATAGAACTTATTTTTATTATGGAAAGTGACTATTTTCATCTTTTATTATATAAAGTATCGCACCACTTTGGGTATATGTATCATATAGTGAGTTATTTTTACCATGAAACTTTTTTAACAGTTGTAAGAAAAAAAATTTCAGAAGTTAAAAGTTTAAAAAAATATATATAAAACCATAGCCTAACAGGAGAAATGTGGGGGTGACTTGATACATATGCACAAAGAACAAATGTAAAGGTGTTCCAAGGACCTGCCGCAGAACTGATAAAGGCTGAAGAAATCTCCAAGGCTCTGGGCAGTTCTCCTAAGAGAGCAGATCCCCATGACTGACAGCCATCTCGCCTGCTAGCCACCCTGAGAAAGCCTCCCCCTCGGTCCCGTGCTCTGCCTGACACTGCCGATGCTGTCTTGTTCCTGTACAGTGGCTCCGCTTGCTGTTCGTGGACTGGTTTCCTATAGCACGCACGCGCTGCCGCAGCTTGAGGCTAACTACATTATTTGACTATTGTAATACTATAATACATTTTTTGCTGTGTATGTTGTATTTATCCTTGTTCACATTAGATTGGTCAGCAACTGTATCTATAAGAGCACAGGCAGCTTTATCCTAGAGAAGGGGACGAAGGGAAAGGAAATGGGGAATATATGTTGCTTTGGGAAATTTGGGGGCAAAATGTGAAATAAGTGTTAATTAATGCCTAATAAATGATGTAGTGCTTTTGTGTAAACTCCTCAGCTATGTTATTTCCCAAGTTTGTGCCTTCTTGCTCCCAGCCTTGAGCCCTTTTTTGTGTATGAAATATAAGGAATGCACTGCTACATAGTTTGTCACACCTTGACACTTTAATTTGCAAAGGTCGTAAAGAGCATGAAAATACTGCAGGCAACAGAACGTACCTGCAGCACAATTGCTTTTACTCCCACTGTCACTTGAGCCATGGGTGTAAGCTGGGCTGTAGCTGCCTGTTCATCCACACACCAAGCAGTTGGCTACTTCTCCACAGCTTTTTAAACGAGCAGAAGTTGCACTATATCCAGGTGAAGGTATTCAGCTGACTTTTGTCCACCTTAGCAGCACTCTTCTCTGCACGAGAAGAGATGCCACAGCTCCATCCCATCCTGTTCTCGTGTTCGGTGCAGATTGACCCATTCAGCCAAAGCTTTTCCATCTGCGCTGCTTCATACCCTGCACTTGTATCTCCCAAAGGACTCCCATTAAGTTTAGCTGTGTTCAGAGCAAGTGCTGAATAGGTACTTGAAATGCAGGGATAAATTCTCACTGTGAATGTGAGGCAAAAATTGACTCTGGGAGTGCATTTGGTTTTTGGCAGGGCTACCTTTCAGGGTCAGTAAGTACATGCAAAGAGTACCATGGATACCTTGCAGTTTCTCTTACATTTTCAAACATCCCCATCAACAACTGTTCCATTATTAGTGTAATTTCTTTCTTTTCCTAATATAGCAAGTGTTATGGTCCTTTCTTCAATTCCTCTTTCTCTAAGAGAGGCAAATTCAGAGCTTATTCTTTGCAGCCTTAAACTCCTTTTTGGAATGCTCACTGGTCACCAAAAAGATTTCAGATCAGGGGCTTCAGCAAGGGATGAGTAGGAAAGTTGAATGAAATAAAGAGGTTTGTTTACCTGGAGCTTTGGAAGGATGCACAGAATGCAGCCCTGCCCTGACAACTACAAATGTTTATTTGCCATTAAAGTGACTGTCTAGCTATCATGCAACCAGGAAACTCTAACATGCTTAGCACTTTTTTGCTATGCCAATCTCTCCTTAACTGCAGCAGTTCACTCATGTTTCTTTGTTACTACCAGAGCAACTTGAGCAGAAGGGACATAATCAATATAATAGCCATCTCACAAAATAAATATCAGTATGTGCAGCCTGCAATGAAGGAAACATAAAACAATCACTAGTTAATGTGCCAAACTCTGACTGAAACTGTAGAGCTCAAGAGCCAGGGAAAAACTAACTCTGGTTGCAAGTACTATAGGCTGCTTATTTTGAATATAACGTCAGAAGCTCATAGCAGCTGGAGTTTGTTGTGTGCAACAAAAATGACCCAAACCCACAACCTACAAGTTTTAAAAATTTGTGCAAGTGACTGTAGACACTTGTGCAAATACGTGTCCGGCACACCACTACCATTAATGTTTTTTTCCTGCTTAAAACACATCGCAGCTGCTATGGTGCCAGGCAGAAATGGAGACTGACCAGGGGCTTACGAGCCCTCCGTGGGCTCTGCTGCATGCCACTGAACTGCCAAGGCCTGCAAAAACACAGCCCCTCTTGAACACCACCCGAAACTGTGTTCGCTTTGTCCCTTGAGCAGCAACGTGTATGGGAAAGAAGGTGATATTTACTCATGGCCTCGCATCTGCTGGAGGGTGCTTTAAAAGGAATGACCTTGACTGGCAAGGCAAAAGCCATCATCATCTTGTTAACACAGCACTCTGGGATTTATTTATGCAAAGCCTCGCAGCAAAGTGACTAGCAACAATTCAGCAAGGCTGGCCCTGTTCCTGGCCCTTTTCTGTCAGGGCACGTCAATGTTAAGAGTTGGGATAAAGAACTAAGAATATCTATTTTGTAACCAAATGATGCAATTTTTGTATGCTTTTAGGCAGTACTTGCCATTGGATAGTGATGCTTTATGTCAATGATTCTCTGACTTGCTATAAAATTATTTTATGTTAAGAAGAAAATAAAAAGCATTCAGATGTGCCAAAAATGTGAGGTTAACTGAAGTGTAATTAGTTCTGAAAGTTTGTCTGTAACCTGCCTATTGTTACAATAGATTTCAAGAACTGCGGGTACAATGCAGTAGTTTTTACCTCTATAAAGTTTTAATATAAAGTGAAGAAAGATGCTTACCCTTAAAAAATGGCAATGCAGACTGGTGTGAACTGATGTATTTTATTAATGGAGTCTCATTGTGATGTAAGTTTAAATAAATTGTTGGGTTATGGAAGATTGTAACATGCCTTGTGATGCAGATTATTTCTATCTGTATTTGAGTTGTTGAGTCTGACCTTTTAGAGTAGATGAGGTAGCTCAGGGAAAACGATGGGGGAACTGCACACATTCCTCTTGGACAAATCCAGTCAGAGAATGGCTGTAGTTAAATGTAGTATGAACACTGGTTGCATGTTTTTGTGGCATCACAACCTAATCTTTCAGGAGTCTTACACACACAGATTAACTAAGCCACATAGTTTTTGGGTGTGGGCACTTCTTTTCAATACTTTTTTTGCTGCCTTTTTTTTTCCCCCACTGTTTGAGAAAGGCCTGCAGCAAAAATACCCTCATTAACTAATGATGGAGAAATGGAGAAATATTGGGAACTGGGGTCACAGGAGGTCTGACTATGGAAATGGAAGTCACACAGCCAACAATTCATGACAGGGAACTCGTGATGTCCTAACACGCATATATTCCAAATTTGCTGCCACACCTCTATAGCTGATTATTATTAGTGGCGTAGATGTAACAGACCTCTTCTGTTGATCACATTCCAGCCTTAGCACAGAATAAAACAAAGCTCCTACCTAGTCCTCAGCCTTCCCTCACCCGTGCCCCTGTGTAACGCTGAACTATTGCTAATTATGCTTCAAACTATGGCCCCTAGAGTTGGCTTTGCCATTCCATGCAAAACTGGTGACACCACTCAGCCAATAAAAACAATCAACCTTAATGAGCACATCATTAAGCCTGAACTATGAAGGTTAATTATATAATTGTAGCAGATGGTAGCATTTTCACCTAAAGCAAACCCAGCTGAGCTCACTAAAAAAGCTAGCGGGAACTGTTCAAAAATTTCTAGGTACTGGCTGAAGTAACTGGTTTGCACTACAGTTATTTGTATTGCTCGTGGCTTTGCAGTGCACAGGCTCCTCAGCAAGCATTCAAGCAACTGCAGCCCAAGGATAAAATGCTCTTGTTAGTGCTTCTGCTTGCAGTGCTCTAGGTATTGCTTTTTATCCATTGGTCTGAGGCAAACGATGCCAAGAAACTGTCTATCCTGCATTCCTTTACCTTGGTTTTGTCTAGTCATCAGGGAATACATGGTGTTGCAGTTTGCAGGGTGTTTGGCTGTAGGTTTTGCATTGTTCTCTGGGGGTCCTGTCACTTCTGATCTCTGTTACCTTTTTTACGAGTTACTTCCCAATTCCTACTTCAGCTTACACAAGACAGCCTCCCAGTTCAGAGGGCCAGAAAGGCAGAATTTGCTTAGTTTTGCCAAGCCCAAGGTGCTCTTGAATAATCCCTTGACCAGCAAGATGCCAGGCTGGATCGCTGTGGGGCTAGTCCAGCACCGTTCTGTGAGCTGAGCCAGAATGTTTTCCAGGATGTGCTCTATAGCTTTTTCCAGCACTGTTCTGTGAGCTGAGCCAGAATGTTTTCCAGGATGTGCCCTATAGCTTTCGAGGCCAGCTGATGTGAATGCCAAATAAAGTGCCTCAACCGACCCTTGGGCCCCCCTGCCGAAGCAGGATGGGAGCCCAGAGAGGGTACTGCCAGCCCTGGTAGGAGCCTTCAGGGTCTGTGGTGCACACCTGCACCTTCCAGCTCTGCTAGCCCGGACCCAGCGCTGACTCACCTCATGCTGCCAGCGCACGGCTCTGCTCCACGCCCGGGGGTGACCCTGATGCCCTAGCGCTGCCGCAGGCCCTGCTGGGTGGCCATTCCCACCCGTGTCGGGATCCCCAGGTGTTGAGGATTGGTTAGCTGACAAGGGTCACATAGACATACTGTAGATGGCTGACCAGGATTTTGGGAAATGTCGGACTCTGTTAGTCTGAAGTGCTGGGGTGGTAAGGACACGCTGTCCTTGACTGCAGCTGCTCTACGATAACAGCTTGCTTACAGTCAGCTAAGGCATGGGAACTTAAGGGAGTAAGTAACCAAGAATCAGGAGCTAGGGGAGGGGTTGACGTTTAGGATAGTGACCAATTAATTAGTTAAATTACAGAATATGCATGCTCTCATTAAGAACTGTATATAAGTTGTAGTCAAAAGCATAATAAACGGAGGCTTGATGATCGTTCATATTGAGTGCCAAGTTCTTCCCACCGCGACACCCAGGCAAGTCACTCCCCCCGGCTAAGACTGCTCTATCCCCCT